AAAATCGCCAGCAGGCCAGCTCCATGGCTGGGGACAGCCACCATCACCCCGGTCCCTGGCACCCCCAGCCCACTGCAGCCACCCCTGCGCCCAGCAGCGCTGCGGACACACCGGCTCCCCAAAGCCAGGTGGGAGCACCCACGGTGCCAACCCTCTGCGAGGGTGCTCTGCCTGGGGGACACGCGCCCTCCCTGCTGCACTGGCACCGGGGATGGGAGTGGGCAGCCTTGCCCCCAACCCCGGTACCGTCCTTTGCTACTAGCTAGAAAGACATCATAAAACAATATCAAAATAAAAGCAAGCCCTCTGGTAACAGATGTAAGCCTTCAGACCACAGCTCGTCCATCACTTTGAGGCACCCTGTGACCACAAGTCACAGCAAATGGCCCCAGGCATTGCTACTGCCTTCTTGGAAGAATCTCTGAGGACCTCATATATTAACTCACAAATGTCAATTAGGCAAGTCTGATAAATGCCGTGTGATCACGGCAGCGATAAGGCTGAGCAGGCTGCACACCTGGCAGGGCACAAGGTGCCAAACCAGAAGCACCAGTTCCCATGCTGGCAGCCGAGCTGCAGGCACTAACCACCGAGGCCCTCCATGTCCCACTTGGGAGGATACCGCACCCCCCCCCCAAAACCCCCCCCCCCCAAAAAGCCACCCCAGGTAATGGCATGGACAGACCAAGGACCGAAGGGTTGCTCCTTGTTCCTCCCCCGTGCCACGTTCAAGCAGGTGCCTCATCACCTGCAAGCAGAGGGGCCGGGAGGCGGGAGGGGGCTGCAGGCTGCTGCGGAAGGCAGCACATTGACAACAGTCCCCAGAGCCACTAGCCAAAGGGACAATAAATTACTGTGAGCAAGGTTTGAGTCCTCATCGGTGTTTTTTCTCTTTCAAGCTCATTGGATCACACCAGGGAGGCTGGAGCAGACCCAACAGTGCAGCTCAGGTGTGGGCACCGATTTTTTCCAAGCCCCGGGTAAGATGCAGCAGCAGCAGCACGCCCCAGTGTGTGGGATCAAAAATCTGCATTTAGCTCCAAAATAAAAAAGCAATCCCAGAAATATGACAGCAGCTGGGATTGTTACCCAGGGAGACAGGAGGCTCTTCACCAGGCTCAGCATCTCTCGCAGAGCAGGTCTCAGAGCCAACCGCTCTGACGGGGCAAGAGCTGGCAAGGGGTACCTGGGGGGGGGGGGCACATCAGGGGGCCGTGGCACAACAGCCTTCACAAGGTGGAGAGGCCTGGCTGGGAGCAGGAAAAATTCAAGGTGCTAAAATTCAAGCACAAAGGCTGTTATCGGGCTGTGCTCAGCAGGACTGGGCTGCAAAACCAGGGCTGCTGCCCTGCACTCAGCATTTCGCTCACCGCTCCCTGCGCCCGGAGCAGCCCGTGGCAATAGGTTTGGGACTCCGGACAGCTGAAAGCCACGCAGCACAGTCAGGCATGCTTTGATTTCTTTTGAAGAGCTGAAGAAGAAGAAACACCGACCAACGTTAAGATCCCACCGCAGAAACAGGGGGCCTTTGACGGGCCTCAGCAGCTGAGATGGGACCCCCAAAACCCCTGACTCACACCACTAATCGTGCAAGAAGAAAAATCCGAAAACATTCAAGTTAGCCATTTCCCTTGGAAACCGCCTCCTCTTTGGCATCCTCAACAGCCACTAAAATAATACTGACCATAAAGGATGACATAACTACTAGTATTACGATTCCTCAGATGTATATTTTGCAGCGTGATCTTTTTAGATGCCAGTCACAGCGAAATCATAATTTAAGATCTATCAGTATTTAAAAGACCTCTGTCCGTCGGCCAGCCAGCTCTCAACCTTAATCCAGTCTCCAGAGGGCCGGGAGTAGGAAATGTGCCCTTTCACCTTCATTTATTTATAGATGGCAGAAATGAGCTCACCCTTTCTGCAGCGCCATGTCACAAAACGCGCACCTCTGACCCATTTGTGCCTGGTGCAGCACGGCTCCCGGACTGCCGCTGGGTTAGAAATTCATAACGCGTTCGTCCTCCTTCCGGACCCCGTCGCCATCCCCATCCACACGCACGCAGCGGAGGATGCACGGCACAGCTGATGTCACGAGCGCGCCCGGACTCAGCCCTCTCCAGGGTGGAGGTGGGGTGGGGGGATAGGAAAAAGGTGGGGAGGGATGGGGTTGGGGTGTCAGAGGCTCCCCTCTCCCAGCACACAGCCCCCCCCCCCAAAACACCCCCCCCCCCCCAAA